ATGAATTTTTTCTTAGACCCATGTAAAACCAATTTCGATAGTTCCGTCTATTTGCTAGCCAAATTTGAAGTCGATAGCTTCAAATTTCTTACACTTATCGTGTTTCATAGCGATGTTCAAAAAACAGTCGAAAATCGAAAAAAATAGATAGACGCCGGCGTCAGATCGGGGCCATTTTTTTATAGGTTTATTTCAGTATCCTAGCGCAAACCGCCCGGAAGTTTTTCGCATTTTTATGCAGCGTCGGCAGAGAATAGAGACAGACAGAAAAATAAATTTTTTTTTCGACCCTGATCATTTGTGTACCAATGGGAGTTCCCTAGGACCTCCCGTTGCCGAGACATGCGTTTTGTTTCGAAAAAATCTGTTTCATCGATTTTTCGTAAGTAACAAGAGTTTCTTCAAAATATTCGAATAGCGAATGCAATAATATACAGCGTGTCCCATTTAAAATATAAAAACTGACGCTATTTTTTTGACAAAGTCGCTGCTGCTGCTTTTCGTTGACCATAACCTGGCGTCAACCACTCTGTATATTAAATTTAAAACTGTTTTTCAATACTCCCCCATATAAATAGTTTTGCATTTTTTTCCATTCATGTTCTTAGTTTTGGTTAGTTTATTTGCTACGTTTTAAACTTCCTAACGCTCAATTTCAACCATTTTTTGCACGCTATCAGACGGCTTTACGCCCCCTGTGCACTATTTACCACGAAATTCCGACAGACGATAGGGGAGGAAAAATCAAAAGAAGCATCCCCTTAGCAGCGTCCATCAAATTCTAATTACCGTGCCGGGAAACGCAAAGGGAGGATCAAAGCGGAGGGATGCCGCCCCCCTCAAGGCCGTTAAACTCGGACCTCCCGGTGCTGTCGACGCGCAAAGAAACCGCCGCCGTTTGCCGTAAAAAATGGAGGCCACTTTGGGTCAGAGATCGTCTCCACTTCTTTCGGATGTGACTTGGTCGAGTAACCCAATTCCTTGTGGCGCTGAAATACTGCCAAAATGGATGTTTTTCTGTTAAAATTCCACTTTTGGCAGACGCTTCTGTAGGCATCCCAGTGCCTCCGCGAATGAATATAAAGCGACGTTAGAGAGAGAATGTAAACGGATATATTACTAGCTACTATAAAGTATGTCTCGTATCAATAGTTCAAGGATGTTTTCCTACATGAATGAATAATCACATAAAACGTATGTTTCTTTATATTTTATAAGATACTTTAAAAATAAGGTGCAATAAATTCTAGGATAGAAACCAAAATATAAAGTGATATAAGTGATATATAAGATAAGTGATATACAAAATTCTAATCCACAAGCTCCGTGCTATTGCATTTTCCGAATCGCTTGTTAATTTGTTTTCTTCATGCTTTACTATCCGCACGTACGGGTATCTTTATGGTTACACTTCCGATGAATACATTGCTTCCTCAAGCGTTTCTCTATTGGGGACATTATTATTCAACATTTTCGTTAATGACATTGGTTAAAACCAGTTTTTTGAGATATGCGGAAAACATATTTTTTTAAACTCATCAGTAAACCACCAAGTGTAATGTAGTCCTTTTTACCACCATGAGTGTAGCTGAGAAATATTGATGAAACACTCTCCTGTTCTAACACTTTTTGTGACTTGGAAGTAATATTTCACTCGAAATTATCCTTTGTTCCTCTTGTTAAGAAGGTTCTGGTAGAACTCTCACAAAGCGACGTTAAAAATACAGAAGTGTTAAAATTTTTATATAACTCATACGTCGGGTCTAAGTTGGAGTATGTATCAGTAGTTTGCTTTCCTGGGGACAATTGTCACATTAATAGCCTGAAAAAAGCGTAATGATGTATGCTAGTTGGACGAAATATATTCCCACCAAGCTTTTTGCATATAATATTATTAGATATATTTTGTTATGTCTATTACTGATCGCCATGATTGCCATTATTTAATGACTTTAAGATTTTAAATAACTTGTTTGATTGCTGTGACCTATTATATAGACTAAATTTTCTTGTTCCCCGTGTTTTAATGAAACAACATAACATTCTAAAAAGAAGAAAAATAATAAACGTCGATTTTTTGAATTATTTTAATAAAACAGATACCCAATTACTTAAGTCAAATAATAGCGATAATAATTCTCTGCATGCTGTCACATTAACGATATTGTTATGATCATACAGAGAAGAGGTTTTTGTTTTTTTAAACGAAAACTTGGATTAAAAAAAATCTAGAACTTAAATTTCTTTAGAAATGATTTTTCAACATTTTACCGCCCTGTATCTCAGAAGTTAAGACGTTTAGGACATATGTTCATGCGGAGTTTTCTTTTTAGAATGGACCAAAATTGATATTCATTTGGAAAACATCCTGTATACACATACAGAAAGTGTAATTTTTTGACCTAAAAGTTGATATAAACATAGGTACGGAAATGCATTTCAGTGTAAATCGTTTTTTTTTGTGAATATTCTATCTACAATAAAACTCAATTACGAACCAACGGTTATAACGTTCCATGGAAAAATCCCGTATAACGTACGTATTACTTCTGATACAAAGTACAAAATTTCCAGTCCTTTGAAAATAGCATTATATGATTTACCTCTCAACCAGTGGCCTATCCAACAATCTCAGGTAGATGACGACAACTTGCCCTTAGGTGTTTGTTTGGTGAACCACAAATAATTTCAATCCCACCGCGGTAGACGCTTTTTTATAAGAAGAAATAATTGCGCAGATTGGTCAAACTGAACACCTAGAAAACAGTGATATTGATGAAGAAGACGAAGAAGAAATACCTTCAAATTTGATGACGCCGTATCAGGGATTAAAAGTGTAAAAACGATTTTTATAAAGAAAAATTATTCTTATAAATCACTAAAAGCAAACTCGAACAGCAAACTTTTTTACAATATATTTTCTGATTTTATTTTTGTTTACATGTACAATGTACAAACCTCTTACCACACAAAATACATATTTGTATTTATATGTATTTTAAAATTATGTGTTTTCTTTTTAATACAAAAATAAAACTTTTGCATATTAAATCGAATTAATAAAAATAAAACTCTAAGCATCTGTTCTTAATTCTTTTCTAACAAACTCTTACATATTTGCGTTTCGGGGTAGTGAAAAAACGTTACAAATTTGAACTCTAAACGACTGGTGCCTTAAAAACGACGCTTTATCGAAAGCTTTGCTGAGTCGAGAGATAATGTCAAGCGATTCAAACATGTCGGTACATTTTTTATAATTAATCGGATGGGAACAAAGCCGTGCTGCGATGTAGGTATAATACAAAAAGTTGATTTAATATAGGCGTCCAAGAACTTTACAAATAATACACACTAGGCTGATAGGGTGATAATTTGAGACATCTAATTTACAGGGACCTTATAGGAGGTATATAGTAGATAGAATAAGGAACAAATTCATAAAAGACCTCTATTTATAATCACAGGAAGTGATACCCTGGAGGATAGGTGCTGCCTGGCATAGGAATAGAACGCTTTGTACTGATTAAATAGATTAATTTTGAAGGCAGACTTCGCTTTTTCAATCTCCAAGGATAAAGAATTAGAAACTTTTTTGTGCAGATACTTTAAACATACGCAATAAATTCCATTTTTCTTTAATTTATCTGAATAGAGGTCTGGTTAGCTAATACTTTTCAGAATTGATATTAAGAAAATGATTTTTGGAGCTGATACCTATGTAATAATTCAGGGGAGATAGAAAATATGTCCACGTATCATTAAGAGAGAGTTTCAGATATGCTGGGAGTGGTTTAAATCTAACCTCGACGTAGGGTTTGAATACAAAAATGAATAAAAACATGATCGGATTTGCCGATTTGCGAATTAAGCTCCATGCTATTTACAAATCATGTTGGTTGTTTATAAATTAAACTTGCAGACGTTTCGCCAAATCATCCTGTTGGCTTCTTCCCACATTGGTTTAAGGTAAAGGCCTGAGTCGCGGTTGTTTGATTGCTGATAGATGTCTACACATTCTCCGAATTTTCTTTAAGCAAGAATTTTAGTTGATATTTGAAGGATGGAAGATGTTTAGAGATTTTTGGACAAGTGTTAAATCTTGTTTTGACTTTATATTTCTGAAGCACTTTTAATATGTGAATGTAAGGAAGGAGAACAGCGGCAAGTGTGGGGTTGTTTTCGGACTCATTGTCCTTGGAAGGTTGTGGTGAAGAGTATTTTATGATGGAACGATGGGTTCTCTATTATCACAAATCATCGCGAATATACGTATGGAAGACTTTGAGAAGAAAGCCCTCGACACTTTCCATCTAAAACCAAAATTATGGTCAATCATCATGTTCTTTAGCTGAACGGAAACTATTCAGTTAAGCTCTGAATTCAGAAGATTCACAGTAGTTTGCGTAACTTTCTTTGAAAAATCTTATTTGATTAAAACTAAATTGATCTTATACAAAAGAAAAATCGGAGAATTCATAGAAATCTATAAGCAAGCAAACACTCTTAACCACGACTCAGTTCTTTAAGTTTTTAATTGGGATCTGAGGTAAGTAAAAGTCAATGATGTTCTTTAACAAGGTGACTAAGACTGTAACAGGTTTTCCATGGAAGTCGTTTAAAATAAAAGGCAAGGATATTATAGAGAAGTTAAAAGTCGCCAGCGACAATAGAGTTTGCCGGAACTCTTCATAAGAGCTGAAGATTGGAACCATTATCAGTATCAATGGGTCTGTATATACAGGCAAGGGAAAAACTAAAGTCAAGACTTGTAAATGACAGAGAAACAGCGTCCACCACCTGACCTATCATTAAATCCAAGACTTTTAAATCTTTTTTTACAAAAAAAAAACAATTCTCGAACATCTCTCACGAAACTACAACCGCGAGTGAAGAAGTAATCGTCAAACAATTCCTAAGTTATAGTCATTACATATTTTATAGCTCTGCACAGGCACATGGTCGCCATTCAACTAATTAATATCGCGACTTTCGTTTTGCAGGTCTGGTGAAGCTGGGAGTCCATTGCGTAACCGGCAAAAAGGTGGCGATCAAAATCATCAACAGGGAAAAATTGAGCGAAAGCGTGCTTATGAAGGTAAGGAGTTTCCATCTCTCCACTGCATTTATTAGCTGTTAAAACGATCGCACTACCGGATTCGAGTTAGAGAAAAAAGGAGAACTACCCTAGGGGTCACGCGGCATGTTATATTACTATTCAATATTTTTGTTGCTTCTCTTTATACTGTCTGATTATTATTCAAAGTTTTAAAAATCAAGCAATAACTCGATAAGTCACAACAGCGGATATTTTACTAAGTCAAATATTTTTTTAGTCTATGATAAAGAGGTGCAAAAGGAGAGAAATTTTCGTGCTAGTTCTGCGGAAATATTTATGATACCGCCACAGCCAAAGGGTCCGCTGTTTAGGAATTTATAATAGTAATAATGACATGACGTTATTAATAAAAAGTTAAAATAATTTACAATTAATCAAAATAAGGTGTTCTCTGGCGCAGTCTAGCTAGGAGCTATTCTATTCAGCCAGTACGCTGTGGATTAGGTAGGGGACTGCGGGGCAAGGCGGCCTCCTATTCAAAAATTTTTTTTTTCATTTTTTCTTGTAACAATTATAAATTCTGGTCATTTGTACATTTTCAGCCTTTTGCGTAATACCAGGGGTGAAATGAGCAGCTTAAAAATTAAAAAAAAAAAAACAATTTCATATTGCAATCATAATTAATTTATTGAAAGTGTTATTTTTTGGATAATTCTATGGATTTAGCCTAAAGCCAGAGCTTTCGAAAGTCTTATAAATACCAATAACAAATTTTGTAATGGATAGAGAAATAGTCACTAATCAGTAAGGTTTTTTTAATAAATACTTTTAATAAATAATTATAATTATTATATAAAATTTGGGTAAAGCTGAAGCTGAGAAAATGGCCACATGGCCCTCTGATGAGGTAGAATCGGCAATTTATTCCTATATGTCATTATTTTCAAATTTAAAATATTCTTTGGAATATAATTTTTAGTTTTGCCTAAAGAGATGAATAGAGATTAAGAAATCCACTTATTCTTGCTCCTAGAAATCATAAAATGTATATATAAAAGTATTAAGTTTCAAGTTGTCTTTTTTCCAAGAAATTTTCCGAATAAAAAGAAAAATAAATTTGAGTATCATCAACGAATGAATGCATTTTATAGGATCGCAGTGATTTAAGAATTTCCGATGCATAAACAAGAAAGAGTAAGTGTCCTAAGATGGTATCTTGAGGAACCCCTTCATCTCATGAGAGAAATTATTATTACACTATATTGACTGAAACCTATGGTTTAAATAAGAATTTTTAAGCAGGGAAGCATTATCAAAACAATAATATTTTAATTTCGATACCAGAAGTGGACGATTTTTTGATTTTTCAAAGAAATATCACCGACTGAAACTGGTAAGTTTACTCTATGCATTGACTATTCTGTCTGAGTCACACATGATTCAAGAGAAAATTGAAGATCTTCGTTTATCTTCTACATAGAATCATATCCAAAAATTTGAAAAACTAACGTCAACACTAGTGAAACCATCAAACTCTTCCCAACTACCAAAGACTGTCACTTTAACTTTCTGAGACGGAAAAATCATTTCTTTCGTCCCGAAAGAAGAAATAATTTGAAATGTCGAATCTATACTAAACAAACTGCCATCTCAAACACTTAATGAAAATTCAAACCTCCTAAATATAATATTCCAAAGCCTGAACGTATTGCTATAAAAATCTCTCAAATCTAATTCCCGAACATCAGGATATAATTCAAGATATTCAAGCAATTAGCCATGAACATTCAATCAATTCCTTTTTTCCCCGTTCTCAAATACGAACAACTCTTAATAAGAAAGAAAAAAGAGTTAGGAGTCACGGAAAACAATATTTGAAGGAATCCGTAAACGAGTAATTAGTGTAATAAAATATATTGCTACCCCAAACTTAGCATTCTGAAATTGCAAAGAAGTATGTGGCTCATTCCAAACATTTTTTTTTTGGATTATTACAGTTTATGACAGAATTCCGTCCATTTCTTTATCAACACATAGAAAAATACTGTAATTCTGGGACAGCGGAAGTATTTTTTTAACTGTTAGCTGTAAAATATTGAAATATTTTAAATAAAAGACACAACTACTAGAGAAATTTGGAAGGTTGGATATTAGATGTTATTCCATTGATCATGGATTTCTACCTAAACTGATCACTTACGTGAAGGAGATCTTGTTGAGAGATTTATTGGATTTACTTCCCAGGTAGGACATCAAGCGCAGATAGTGAAGTTCGATTTAAATTTGGATATTGCAAATTGTAGGAGGCAATCTTATGATAATTCCAGCAAATTCTTAAGAGTTACCAGACAGGCCTATTTTATACCTGCTTCTAGAACTTACACAATATTGTGCTAAATCTGTTATTGAAGTTTGGTGGCCGGAATCTTTACAAAATGAGTTTCACGAATATTTCGCGGATCGAAACCTTAAGTAAAGGCAATTACGACACATGGAAAATCCAGAAGCAAGCCTTATTGGTCAAAAATGATGCATGGGGATACGTTAACGGAGAAATCGAGAAGTCGAAGTTGAAATCCGACAACGAAGAATCTAAAAAGGAAGTCGAAAGCTCGGATAAAAACGACAACAAAGCCAAATCAGATATGTTATCTAGAAGCCCTTCAGAACTTAAAAATATCAAAAACTGCAAAACTTCAAGTATGGCTCAAGCTGGAAGGTATTTACCAATTCAAAGGTCCCGCAAGAAAGGCAACTTTATTGAAGCAATTAACATTGCAACGCATAGGCGAAATTTTTCAACGCTGTTGACAAACTGGAAGAAATGGACATTCCCATGCTTGATTGCTTGATATCATGCTGCTATACAGTTCGCCCTCAATTTTCGAAAATTTTCGTTGTGCGATTGAATCGCGAGACAAGTTACCGACTCCAGAAACACTTCGCGTGAAAATCATTGAAGAGTCCGACGCACCCAGACGAATTTGATCAAAATACTATCTAATATTATTTATCTTAAAAAAATATCTAAAAATGACGAATAATGAATTTATTTAAGGAAAGTATAAATTTTAATGATAATACAGTACTTTACACTATTATTCCGCTACACGTAAAAGTATACAGTGTGGTCCAAAAGCCGTACCTAAATTAAAGACTGATTAATATTTTTTTTTTAGAATGACGTTAGAACATTTTTAATTTAGTTTCTTACTTTTTTACGTAATTCATTTATTTTTCAGTGAAAGTTATTAAAACGTATTTTAGCAACACCAACAATGTGTATTATTGAAGAAAAACATAAAACAGTTCTAATTTTAACTTTGAATTATGATAATGTACATATATATTACATATACATTACAAAAAAAATATTACAAAAAGATAATCATAAATATTTTAGAGAAAAGGGGTAAAAACGAAGATGAGATATTGATAATTGAATACTTTGAGTACGGTACAGTATAGTACAGTTGCGTCTATGAAAATATAGTACAAAAACATATCTCATAATTCCTGGTCTATTATAAAAAAATCTTATTAGATACCTAATAACTTTCTGTCTCACAAATTTTTAAAATGACACAGGGCAAACACAGGTTTTAGACTGTCATGTATGCTATATGTCATCCATTAGTCAAAAAACATTTAATAGTCTAGAATATAAATATTTCTTCTCAAAAACTGTAAATCTGGCAACATTGCCATTAGCATTTTTGAATTTTGCATGTTCAAAAAGTAATTTTACCAAAATTAAAAATATATACCAGCACTGACAGCACTTCTTAAAAAATAGATACCCATTAAGATCGCAAGTACATATTAAATAAGAGTTCTATGTTGTGGAAACGCGGGGAAATGTACTGTTTGCCAAAGAAAACGAAACATTTATGTATTTTAAGTGACGCTATTGTGACATTAAAACAAGTCATACATGATAATAATTGCGTAAATAATAATAATTATATGCTTGTACTTGCCACTAGCAATAGGATCCAAACTATAATTTTATTATTTTTCAATCACCAACTTTCGAAAAAATGGTTAAATACACACTGATGCACTCTGATTAAATGAATACAAATTAATAAACTTTCAAGTTTCAATAACAATATGGCGCGCAGCAACGTGAATCAAAACAAAAGTTTGTTTATTTATAATAGCCAGGTAACTAGATTACTGAAATGTAATGGATTTAGCTCAGGATTTTTAAGTTGGAGTTTATGACTTCTGGCCAGCTTTTGAGGAAAATTCACCTGTGTGTGACGATCGAAACAAATATCAACGGAACGCGAGTGGCCTGGGCGGAATGTTCGTGAACAAAAAATACAAGCAAAGTAAGTGGCGTTCAAAAAGTGATGGAAAGACTAATAGTACCAAGGTTAATCCAGGTAATACCCAGAATTCGACCGAAATATTCAAATATCAGTGCCATCGATGGAGGAAGGTAGGTCACGAAGCTGTAGACAGACATAGAAAATTCGGAAACCTACCACGCACCTCCTGGTCTCAACAATATACATAAAGCAACGCGAAATACTGGTTAGAAAAAAAAAGAGATATAATTATAATAAGAAAGAGGAAAAAAAGGTAAATAAACAAATAAATAAAAAAAAGGATTGAATTTCCTGCAAAACTGGGTGCTTGCAAATTAGTTACCCGTAGTGCTCAGAGTTCTGGGGCGATGGGGGGGTCCACGAATAATGAAGAAAATATAGCACTATTTATCCTTAGGGCACCAGGAAGTAGCAGACCTTCCAGTCTCTCAGATGGTTTGAGGAATCCGATGTTTTGCAAAAAAAAAGAGAACATTAACGATGGAATCTACTATTAAATTTAAACTGGTACAATCGATAAAAGTTAGTCGTGAAGGTTAAGGAGAAAAAAAAAAGATGAAAACTGGTCTACATTATTCAATACGCGGCGAAAATAAGAAATTACAAATCCGCGATGTACCGGCCTAAACTCCGCATAATTTAATTGCCGTCCAAACGACAAGTTGACAACCCGTTTAATACGAAATTCCCAAAATAATAGAA